AAAGAAACACCCTGTATATATATATTTCATATATTGTATTTTATAAAAATTACATATAAGAAAACTAATAAAAATATAAATTTAATTACTTATTTTCCAATAAAAATAGTTATAAATATAATTTTGTTCTACCACATTCTACTTAGGAACTACAATTGATTATAGATATGTTTCAGTCTAATTCATTGGAACACCACTCTTGTTAAAAAGTTTTAAAGTATCGTTTTCTACGTGACCAAATTCCGTTTTTCCATTCTAGAAAACATGCAACACTGCACTATTTTATGACACGATTGTAGGTATTTCGGATTCTCCGTAAAAATGCTTTCATATTTTTGGGTGGCCAATTTTCGTTCTCGGAACTATCGATATTAGAAAAGACAAGGCATAATTCCGTTCTAGAGAAAAATGCGTGATTCACTTTTTGTGGAATTTTTTCTAATACTTCCGGTAATTAAAAGTCAAGAAATATTTCAACAGAAATAATAATCTCCTTATTTTTAATACCTTGATCCATTAAAGAAATAAGATTACTGTGGCCTTAATCATTTTGTTTACATTTAATATTGTTATTTTCTATTATAAAACAAATACGAATATTAAAATGTTATTTTCATACATTTTCTTTTAATGACAACTGAAATGTCTATTTGTCTATAAAAGGCAATATTGTATAGTTGGTTTTAAATATTATTATATTAAGAAGCGCTTAAAAGTAATTGTTTCTTTAAATGGGTCGATTTCTCCTCTCAAAGCAATTTGCAAAAGAAACTGTTACCAATATTATTAAAATATTACCAAACCATTTTCATTAGAGTTGCAGACGCGTTATTAAAATAGATTATAGATAGTAATTTTGCCTTATTAATTAAATAATAAAAAAACAGGATTATAAAAGTTTATCCAAATTAATAATTAAACAAAATAAAGCAATTTTAGTTCCTGACTTAATAAATTATTCAAGGAATAAAAAGATAATAGCTGATTCCGAGTAATCAGTTCAGATTGTTTTTGTTTTGAATTACGCTATCATAATATTGATTTATTTAATAATTTTCTTGAAATATAAATGAACTGGTTCATTAATAAAAACTCAAAAACCAATTGTCATTTATTATATATTTTTACAAACTGGTAGCCCAATTCATTTACAGGTGAATTATTAATTAGAATTTTTCATTATTTACAAAAATTTAAATTATTTAAATACATAAAATGAAAGTTTTAAACCTTTAATTTTAGATAACTTTTAGTTTTAAATTTCCACAAATGTTAGTTAAATATACCTATTAATATGTATGTATTTGGGTCATTTCACGTCAATTTTTCAGCCAAAATTTAAATTTGCCTGGAATATTTTTTTTTCGTTTAGAGTACAAAATAAAAGGTAGGTTATATATATATAAATATTAAAAATTTTAAAGATGATTTTTGGAATTTTAGAACTAGAAAAATCGATATTTATACAACCGTTTGTAAATAGAATATTCAACAAACAAATGTTTGAAAAAAATAATTTTTTATGCTAATTTTATAAACAAATAAAATTTTTTAAATTCCGGCATGTTTTTTTTTCATTTTTCAAAATGTATAAATACTAACCAAAGTATACATGGATAGCGTTTATCGAAAAGGAACCAATCGCCAAAAACTTTTTCTGGGTAAACAAAATTATTTGCAAAATAACTCATTTTTAATGTTGCTCAAAAAATTAATAATGATTTGGTAACCCCCTAAATCCTTTTGAGAAAAGTTCAAAATGATGATCAACCTTTTGAGCATTATTAAAAAGTTATTTTACAAATAATGTTACTAAGTCCAAAAAAGTTTTTGGCGCTTGGTTCCTTTTCAATAAGCGTTATCCACATAACATTGTAAACAAATTTCAAAATGGATCTAAGGATGGTTTAAAATTTAAAATCCTTATTTCAAATTTTACTCGCGTAATATTTAACCCTTAAATTATAAAAAAGTTAATAATGGATTGCATGAGAAATTATTTTTTATTTATTTGGATAATCTAAAAAATTTCAATGTTTTGCATACCTACATACATTCAAAACATTATCTTCATTAATTTTTTAAAGCTTATTTCGATTTCAAATTTGTGTAACTAAACTTTGGAATGGGCTTTAAGTGATTCTTGTTTGTCTAATATTTCTTTAGTTTATAAAAGCGAGAACGATTATAATATATGAAGCAGCGGCAAAATTTTTGGAGAAGTGTAAAATGATATCAGGTACACAACAATTCCACTGTGTTGAACGGGATAAAGATAATATTTTAAAAGTTAGAACTTATCCTTTTTCTTCATTATTAATAAAAGTTGATTTCACAAAATCTAAATTGAAATAACCTTTAGATATAATGAAAATAATGTTTTACCCATGTAGGTATGCAAAAAGATAATATTTTTTTAGATTATACAAATGTATCAATTATAGTTTTTCTTCCTACAATACATCAATAACTATTTTTTTTAATTTAACCCATTCTTATTAGTAATTTTAAATTTTAATCGTACAGGCTCTGTTACAACTTTCATTTGGAGAGCGCGATTATCAACAATTATTAATATTTTATGGAATACTTAACGGTCCACTTTGAAAATTGTACATTGTATACAATATTATGTATTCTTTGGTTAGTACATATACATTCAGGTCCTAACTTGAGTGGTCCTATTATTTTATAAAAATTGACTGCTATCTCATTTTCTGATTATGAATCAAGGTTGTTGCTTTCAACTGATATGTCAACAATGTCTACAATTATTTGTTAAAATTTGAAAACTAATATCTTAAATTTCAAATATCAAATATCTTAGTATAAAAAAACTCACATGAAAAAACTTCATTTCACGTTTTGATTTTTCCTTACCAGCTCTTTATATCAGAACTGATAGATCAGGGCGGGAGCAAAATATTATCGTAAGCAGCATAATGTCAAATCGCAAACGCCATGTCTCGGAGTTGCTTACGACTATTTGTCGGGAACATATAGGCGCTTACGTTCTAAATCGGTAACAAATTAAAAAGAAAAGGCGCTTAAAATAATTAAAATATTCAAACTGACCAATATTAGATTCCAAAATTGGAATAACTATTATGTTAACATGTGCAGCTTATCATAACTGAAACTTTGATAAAATAAAAAGTAATTCAACAAAATTGTCGCTTACGATGTTTTGTCAAATGACCATCGATATATTCCAAGCAAATTTAAATTTGGACTGAAAATTTGACGTGAAATGGCCCATATATTTATCTTTTTGTGGTTAGGGTATAATAATATTGTTAAATAATTCTAAATTATGATTGTGGTTTTAAAATTGAATTTAATTAAACCTATTATTTTTGGAATAAAATAATAGGAAACAATATAAACATAAACTATTAATGTAATGGAGTTAAATCTATAAAAACATCATAAAATAACAGAAAATTATAAAAACCTGTTATAAATAAAAACAACTTATAAATAATAATAATTAAACAATCTATTTTTAAACTTTTTTCTATGAAATCTTAAGTTTATGGGCAATCATAAAATTTACACATCAAGAATTAAATATAAAAATAATTATTTTTAATTGCTTCAAATTACAAATGTATTAAAAACATTAAATTATTGAAAATCTTATTAATTATAAAAATCGTATTTTTCTAGACAATTAAAAAAATTTAATATAAAAATGCTACAAAATTTTAATTAATTCTTATTAACACACAACACTATAATTATTATTAATATTTTATATTTGTAAATGTATATATTTTTCAAATTCTAATTTGACATATAAAGGAAATAACACTCCATAAATTATTATGTGTCTTATGATAAGACACTAGTGTTTTATGATAGTTAATAAAACAAAATAATAATTATTCACTATTTATTTATTTAGATTTAAATTTACAATAATATTGAATGGAAACAAATTATTGGCCTAGTCAGATTCAACAATTTCCCCACCAATACTAGTTTCCTTAAAAGCACCCACGTCTTGAAAAAGTTCATATAACTTGTAGGTCTTGTTCCTGACGCAGGACTCGCACCCATAATTTTTTGTGCGATATCCTCCCAGTCCTTAATGTAGCCCTCTGCTACGATGGTTGACTTCCACCCGCCATGACACTTGATGGTGGAAATATCACCTCCTGCATAAGCAAATAATGTAGCCGGTGATCGTCTTATACTGGTCGTGTAAAATTCTGCACCTGGTAGTTTTAAGAAGAAAGCCTCTTTCGATGCAATTTTTGACGAAGTGTTGACACCAACCTTGGTGCATTTTTCATTTCCATCGCAGGAAGACCTCTTGGTGGCGACGTGTTAAGGACGTAAACTTATATATTACTTACACATTTCAAAAGCATTAACTGAGAAGCCTTCATCCTCAATGATAAAACTGCGAGCAATGTTTGTTGACAGGGATTGAAACATGAAGATAGGTCATGGTTGTCTTGAGCATCAAATATCTTGTCCACAATTAGGAGGATGCAAATATTTACTTTATATAAAGTAAATATTTGCATATATATATATATATATATATATATATATATATATATAGGTATATATATTTAATATACATATATTAAAAAAATAAAAACAAACATTTCTTCCTATTTTATTTGCTTCTTAATTCACACGTACAATAAATAACTTAATACTTGAATTAGTTTTTGGAATGAAATCGTAATGAAAAAATAGCATCTGAATTTTTTTTTGCAATTTTTTTTTGTTGCAAAATCATCTATATGTAAAAAACTATAGTTTTTTATCGAAGTGGATAAAAAGTTACCGAGTTAGACGTGGAGAAAACTTTTGGGTTTTGAACAATTTGCTTATACCCATTACGCTCACTTTTTAATTCTCTACCGTACTATGGAAAAAAAGTTTTTGCAAATCCGTACATAAATAAATAAGTTACAGAGGTGTCCACATTATCCACATTATTGTTAATAAATATAAAATTTCATACTTTTTTTTTCTTATAGGTCCGGTGACAGTTCCGATGGTGTCGACAAACTCGACGCCGCCCATCGCCATGCCCGTGCAAGTGCCGCCCGGGCACATGGTGCAGCAAATCGTAGACGAGAACGGCACGCTTAGGCACATGATAATCTCGCCGCAGCATCCCCCTGGACTTGTACCTCTTCCATCGCAGCACAATCACCACCACTACGTAAGTAAAATTTTAAAAATATTTTTTTAGTCGGCAAAAATGGATAAAGTGGATTTTTTGTGCTCAAAAGCGGCTGAAAAATAAAACTTTTTTAAAGGCTTTCAGTTTTGTCCTTTTTCTATCGATGATTATCAAAAGCGGCCGATATTATTTTTTTGGCCGCTTTTAATATTGTTCGTTTTATTAATAATTATGTGCCCCACTGCCAAGAAGTGTTATTTTGTCATCGTCTTCTTCCATTAAATTCAGACTCATCAAAAAAAAATGTTAATTTTTTGCCTTGGTACAGAAATAACTATTTTTTACAAAAATTTAACCGGATATAACGAACAATTTTATTTGTTATAAGCGATTTTTAGACTTTTATATGTTCGTTATAACCGTTAACATATTTAACTAGGATAAAACCGATCACTTATGTCGTATATAAATTATTATATATTATAATACCACTAGTGTTAAAATTTTACCTATAAAATTTTTGATATTTATACGAATGTTTTTCTTGAAAATTTCGTTGGCATTAATTTTTAAGACCACGAGCCGCAAGGCCTCTATATCAATTGTTTGTTTATTTTTAAGGCAAAAATTTTGATTTACATGAAAAAAAATTGAGATTTTAACGCCGGTTGATTCCCAAGATAAAAATTCCAATAAATACATGATGATTGGACAGAGTTCATATTCATTCCTATCAATTAAAATAGTGAACAACATTCCAAGGGAAATTCTAAATAAACCTACGGAATATATGTTTAAAAGGTACATTAAAGAATATATTTATAGTAAACCAAGACAGGAGATACATAACATAGTGGAAAACAATTAAGCATTTTTATCCCTAAAATTATTCTTAGCTGATAGCTATCTATCAGATAGATTCTATCTTAATTATGTATGTTTGTGATGCCTATGATTTTATATTATTTCATTTCACTCTGGTCTCTATTGTTATTGTTTTTTTGTATTCATGTGTTTTATATTATTATTGGTCACTTTTTGTACCTTTAACATTTACCTTGTAAGAAGTTTTAATACTTTGTGATAATATTTTACAAGTATGGTAATATTTTCTTAACATAATCATAATTTGAAGTTATTTTAATATTTTAAAGTATCAATAATTGTTAAGTTTAATTAAAATAATAACGGGCAATTTTAATGTTAAAAATTATTATTGAGATGGTTACTTTATGTTCGTATAGATGTATACAAATATTTAATTTAAATATTTTTTTAGATAATATTAAGTATTTGTCGTAGAAAATGTATAGTATGCAACACGTTTATAAACTTTTCTAGGCACTCATTTAATTAAGCACTCGCTCGCAAGCTCGCTTGTGCCTAAATTAAATTCGTGACTAAAATGGCGTTTATCAAACTTGATACATAATATACTATTAAATATCTAATCCCAATTTTTACTCAAGCTATGCAGTAATAAACATCAATAAAATATCATTCTTGGAAATTAAAAAAAAAAACTTTAAAGTTTATATAATAATATGTATACAACATTCTAATAGTTCCTATTAGGAATATTAAATATTACCTGGTCATAATAACACATGCACTGAAAAAAATAAGCTGTTGAAACAACAAAAAAAATATTAATTCAACTCTTTATGCACTTTAAATACAAGCAATGGTTTTTGCACGTTTACTTAACCATCTAAAAATGTCAAATTGTATTGTTTAATTGAACAACAAATAACAGTTAAATGAACAAAATTAGGATATTTGTTCTAATCTGCTAATTTTGTTAATTTAACATTCTTAGAGTGTTAAGGCAACTTTATGAATGCAAATTTAACATTTTAAATTTTAAAATAACATTTACAATTTGTTAAATGAACAAATTTAATGTTGTGGATTAAAGAGCAACTAAACGTTAATCTAATAGTTTTTTTAGGTAATCCCAACAATTTTAGTATTTGATTTAACCAATTCCAGCTATTAAATCAAAATTGCTTTGACACCAAAATATAGATTAATCCAATAGGTTTTTTGTTGAAACAACATTTTCAAAAATGACATTTAGGCAAATGTTAACTCAACGAATATATTTTTTTCGGTGTGGTGCACCTACCTATTAGGGTAGGTAGGGGTATACTCTTATATATTATATAATTTTGTACAAACCCCAAAGAAGCATGCTCAAAATCAATAACCCAGGTTTTATAGCCCTAGATAAGAAATTCTTACCAAGGGCTATAAAACCGGTTCTTACTGAGAACTTCAACACCAGTCAAGTACAAATATTATAAGCGTAGCTTCTAAGGTTGGTGTTAAAAAAAGATTCTATTTTTAATTAAGGAAAACATTTTTTTTCAACTTTCGACATTTTAACAATAAATTTACCCAAATGTAAATCTTTTTTCCCACTCACCTTACACCGATAAAAAAGACAGTTTGCTTTAACTACAAAATGTGGTTAAATAGGCGCCAACTGAGACATCAAGTAAAACATACCACTACAAAAAAGTATACTTCTGTTGTTATGCGAAACCACTGTGTAGTGGTTATTTTTATAATTTTAATAAATGGCTTAATTGACCACTACAGTAGTAGTTAAATTTAGTTTTATGGTATTGGTTTTAAAAACGAGAGCTCCTGTTAAATGTCACCATTTTTTTTGTTAGAAGTTAGTAGATTAACTGTTCTACGTACTTTAATTTGCAATTAATATGGTCTATGTAGGTGTTTATTTAAAAGATTAAGGAGTTAAATTTAAACAAAAAATAGTCCTTAAAAATGATTTATTTGTTAAAATTTAATTTAACACACATTAAAAATAACTAATGCTAAATACTAACAAACATTTTGTGGCAGCTGGAGGATTTTGGGTATATCAATATCTCAGTTATTAAACAAAAAAAATTTGGGCCCCACCAAATTTATAAAACTTTTTATTGACATTAAATAAAAAAGTTAGTTTTTTACCCAGAACTCCCAGCCCCCTAATCAGGATAATTTAAATTAAAGTGGTGTTATTTATAATTTATAACAGTTTATCGACACATTTACAGTAAGTACCTACAGATGTATTACAGATTTTATATCTTTTTTTAATTTTTTTAGTAATGAAATAATAAAAATTTGAAATGGTGTAAAATCTGTAATACCTACTTGGATTAAACAATTTTTTAAATTTGTTGATGAGCTGTAGTAAATTATAAATTACACCAATTTAATTTGACTTAAATTAATAAGGGAGAGCAGGGGGCTTCTGTCTGTCTTTAATGTCATTAAAAACTCTTATAAATTTGGTGTGGGTCCCAAAATCCACTAGCCGCCACAAAATGCTTAAAAAATACAATTTTTTTTTATAAAAAATTAAAATATTACAAAACAAAAATAACTTAGCATACATGCATGCTAACAAAATCCTTTTTTTTTTAGAAAAATTACAGCTTGTGCATAAATGGATTTTATGTCTATGCAAAAACTGTCATTGGTTCTAAAAACTTTGTAAGCACAATAGTGCTTATTAAAACCTATATTTCTTGCAAATGAATATAATTGCATCATCGGATAGCAAAATATTTTCCAATTTTTCCATAAAGCTATAAAAATCAAACAGTGCATTAATATAATAACCTCTAACTAAATTAATTTATACCTTAAGGAATTCTACATATTTACTCACCTACAAATACAGGAATTAACTCCTGTAAATCCCATTTTCCAGTAAGTTTTCCATTAGATAAACACGTCCACTTTGCTTTGCTTTAACTGAGACAATGGATGTAATATCTAGATTCAAGCGGGTTCTAACCCACAAAAAAACTGTTCTTACCGAATAATAACCAATTAATTTTTTAAAACAACGAATGTTGTGGTAAAATCTTGGAATGTACTACTTGTAGTGGTAAAAACAGCTTATTTATTAAGTAATTTTTCTGAGTTGCACTAGTAACCACCATGTTACAACAAAAGATGACACATTGTAATGGTAAATTTTACTAAAGAATGTTACTTTTTTGTAGTAGTTTTAAATGCCTACCTTAGTACCTTTTCTTACCATTGTTTTCGCTATTTTTACTTTAAAAAACTTTACAACTACAAAAAGTAAAATAATTGAGAATTATTTTTATCGGTGTATAAATTAGTTTTTCTTCCGTAAACTTATTTCGCATACTTTGATTAATTTCTTTTCGCAATCCGTCGTCATTGAAATTTTTCGATTCTCTCGAGTTTTCTTACAGTGCCTACGTTGATTCGAGTGCCATTTTTGTGAAGGTGGCAGAACTGGGTCAAAGAATTTAAACCGTACGTTTTTGACTCTCGAATTTACGGGGAAATTAAATTTTTCGAGCAACGTGAATGAATAGGTTAATTTCGAAAACTGAATTGTAAAATTAAGTTAATGGAAAAGTTTTGACCTAAAATTAGAATTTACTTTTTAATTTATTATATAATCAGTTTCTAAGGCAACATGCAAACTATAACAAAAAAATATCGATTTTTTATTTATTTATATTTATTCAAAAGTACACCTCAAATTTTTTTTTCTCTATTCAATTTTTTTAAATTGTAAATACAATTATTGTAATAGAATATTTTGTATCAAGTTTGATAAATTATTATCTAAAAATGATTTAAAAAATACAATAACCATTTTAACTTGTGTTATGTGTGGGAATCTGTATTACCAGCGCGCCGGTCAAAATGTCAAATTTTTACGTGTGATATATCCCTTGGAAATGGACTAACTTAATCCGATATAAAAGCAGTGTTTTACAGTGAAAGTAAAGATAATGTTTTAAAGACACACTAAGGTGAAATCTCCAGCCGAAATTAGTTAAATCTAGTTTACTGCCGGCGAAATCAAAAGGTCAGTAAAACTGAATATAAACTTTTCAAATATTGGCGTTGAGAAACTATTTAATACTTTTGTATTTTTATATTAAGATAATCAAATAATTTTCACATTTAGTATTATTTTATAAAAAGGCCACTTTATTGTAACGCTTATATGTTGTGGAAACATATACAAT